ATTAGAAGCTACTAGTAGCGATGCACTTGATACTAATTGGGATGCAAGTTACTAGATCTTGGCTTCCTGAAGTCATTGAAAGGCAGATTCTTCATTAGAAGCTACTAGTAGCAGTAGCGATGCACGTTACTAGATCTTGGCTTCTGAAGGCATTGAAAGGCAGGTTCTAAATTCGAAGCTACTAGTAGCGATGCACTTGATACTATTAGCGATGCACATTACTAGATCTTGGTTTCTTGAAGTCATTCTAGAGCGATGCACTTGATACTAATAGCGATGCACATTACAAGAGCTTGGCTTCTGAAGTCATTGAAAGGCAGATTCTTCATTAGAAGCTCTTAGTAGCGATGCACTTGATACTAATTTCGATGCACGTTACTAGATCTTGGCTTCTGAAGTCATTGAAAGGCAGATTCTTCATTAGAAGCTACTAGTAGCGATGCACTTGATACTTATAGCGATGCACGTTACTTACTAGATCTTGGCTTCTGAAGTCATGAAAGGCAGATTCGTCATGAACTGCCTGCTTTAGTAACAATTGCATCGTTATTAGCAACAAGTGCATCGCTACGAGTAGCTTCTAGCTACTAGTAGCGATGCACTTGATACTAATAGCGATGCACGTTACTAGATCTTGGCCTCTGAAGTCATGAAAGGCTGATTCTTCATGAGCTGCCTGTACATAATCCCAAACGAAGAGAGACGCCCGACTTCTTAGATCGAGGTATGAGCAAAGACCCTCTCCAAGGTCCAGGTTGACTCCCGTCTCTTTCGTTCGCAGGAGGCTCCTCCCAATGGGCTCGGCTTGCGATACGTGTCACTTGGCTCACTATGTACGGCACTGTTGGTAAGGTCACCAGGCAGGACATGGTGCGCGATGCATGCCATTGGCACTTGACCTTTTGGCTAGGTACTTCGAGTATGGCTTTAAAGAGATTGCCCGTGGATTTACACGCAAAACCTGGGAGCTGGGTCCCTCCTTTTAGAACAGGCTCGTAGCCACCGTTCGCAGAACAGGTCTCTCGATGAGATTTTCACCCAGAGTGACATCATTTGCCTTTTCGTACCGCTCAATGGCAAGACGACCAAGCGCCTCGATGGCAGATAAGAGGCGATAGAAGCTGAATGTACAAACTACTGACAAATTGTTGAATGCATCTGAGGGCTTGCTTGCATGAGCAAACAGTCTACATTTTTGTACCAAAGCTTTTGGACACTCAGTGGATGGGCCTGGTATGGAAAATAGAGTAAATAGAGGGAGATCCTTACCTCAGAAGGGAACATTAGCATACGACTGCATCAGATCACAGGTTGCTTTTCAACGCCATAGCCCGTTATTTAGACACGCCCATAAGTTTTGCCTTCGTCCTCTAAACTGAACAAGAGGTCGAAGATCGTGGAAGTTTCCAGACAGCAGGGCTTTTTTTACAACTTCCCTGCCGGAGCCCCACCGCGCCCACGACTCGACAATGATTCTGTGTCGAGCAAGGCTCATTGATGCAGCTGCCATTGAGAAGATGAAGAACGGCGTGATTCTGGTTCCTTGCCAATTCCTTGCACATCGCGACAAGATGACACCCCACAATCATGTAATGTTTATGTTTTGTAGATCTATCAGTTTGTAGTTCTACACAACCATTGTATAATATAACATTCTGCCTTCGAAGAGTTCTAGTTGGATTGGCCGTCATTGAAAGGTTGGCAAGCAACAAGGAACAAGGACCAGCATCCACGTTGTAGGATGATATTTAAAATCAAAGTGCAGAAGGAAAAACATATTCATTGCGTTGTATAATAAAAAGATCTCCCCAAATTGTCACCAAACCGAGGTCAACACCTCAAGGGGTGGCCTTATCGACAACAAGGCCTTGATCCAGGGTTTGCAACAGGGCCACTTATCAGCACTGAAAGTTGGTGAAGCTGATGTCAATGGTGTCAATTCCGAAGGGGCCAAGGTATTTTTTGGCGGTAGAAGATGAGAAAAATCAAACATGTCAAATGAACCCGTCATGAAACCTATGTGAGCTGCGCAACTCTGAACTGGAGAATCCGCTGTGTCCTTCTGTCAGATGTTCCAGGTAAAATTGGTGGAGCTGGGTTGGACGTGGTGGAGGGCGAAGATGCATACTTCCACACTGATTGGAGCAACAAAGTTGACGCTTGGCCAGAGGACCAATTTCTTGAACAAAGTTCAGTTGCTGCCTTTGTCGACATGTGCTCGGCAGCTCTGGTGTTCTATAGTTTCGGGCCATTTGATTCATTACACAGACGTGCATGCATAGAATGGAAGAATCTGCAGCGGAGGTATCTGAGGTTGACGCAAAAGATACTCGAACATGCAAGGGTCCATCAATGAGAGAATGCACTGAGGTGGAACATGACGATCTTAGTGTTCTGACCTGCTTCAACAATGTGGTGGTCACCTACCATCAGGCCGTGCAACAGCGATGAAGCCCCCTCCACGTGACAACTATGCCGCCGAATGGGATGGATACCATGGATCACCATGTTAATGCGCCCGCAATACCTGCCATTCTTTGCAGATACTCCTCGCACCCCACGAAGCCGCAGAAGAAGTGCGGATGTTGCAGTGAATCAAAAGGTTTTGGGATGGAAGAAAGGAAACATGTATAGTAACATTTGAATTTCTGAAAACATAGCTGTTATGATGAGTTTTAGAGTTATCCAAACAACGATGGCAACCAAAGCTCAAGCATGTGCAAGCACGACGTGCATCCAGTAGGTTTAAGCAATGATTTTCAATAGGTTTTGCACATAGAATTTGGAAGTATGTTGATATGTTGATATGCATCGATAAACTATATGTATGCTTGATTTTGGAGACATCATCATTTTTTGATGAATGTTGAAAATATCCAAACAACAATCAAAGCTCAATCATGTGCAAGCACGATGTGCATCCAGCAGGTTTAAGCAATGATTTTCAAGCAGGTTTTGCACATAGAATATGTGATGACACGGTTGTGTTAATATACCAGCACTGAAATGACATCTTGCAGCATGTGCATGTCGGGGAGGAAAAAGAGAAAGCGAGATGGTTCGGACTTGATTATCACAAACATGATGTGAAAGGACCAGAATTTTGCAGATAGAATTTGTTTGCAGGCAACGGGAGTCAATATATAGTTCATCATGGTGTTCTGGTGCTCAACTTATATATTAACCGCAAACTTTTGGGATAAATATATACCAACATGTAAGGGTGTAGATATTGACGTAAACATGTGTGCTTAGCTCCGTTCATACACAAATCAATGACACATCTATATTTTATTTATGACATATATTATTGTTATAAAACAAAATATAATGTATCTAAAAAATACTATGTGCAAATAAGTATTCTATTTGCTGACTAAATACTTTAGCATATTCTATCTCCCTGAACCCTTACTATATATAAAACTAAGTTGGGCCAAATTTTCACTCAGAGACTCTCAGAAAGTCGAAGGTTCTTTTCCTTGTGATTGTGATTCTGTGGTGTGAAAAAGCTGATGAGCTGAATATGTTTTCGTCACAGGCATGGTTTACCGTGGAGTCCATGAAGAGCTTGTGCCATACGACCTTGCGGAGTTTCCATGCCTGTCGTCTCGGTGAAGAACCACCACTGCAGCGTAATCCTCCGCAGAGTTTTTCAGTAACAGTGGACGCTACAAGGGGCTCCTGGCATCGCTACTAGGAGCCAGGACGCTACTAGGGGCTCCTGGCCGTACTACTAGGAACATCCTTACTACTAGTAACAATTGCCCACCCTTACCCACAGCAAATTTCATAGGCGGCCACTTAATTAAGGGAGTAAGCTCAGGGCGACTAGTCAGCTAGTAACTGAACGCAGGATAGCTCACGCTTCTTCAAGGAAGTGCTCGCACTAATGATTTGGTTTCTAGAGTTTTTGGGAAACTGAAGGAGCAGTACTTGGGCCTTGATAGTTGCAGACCTAGAGTCTAGAGCACGATGTAATCCTGCTCTTTTTCACATGTCAACTCCACCAGGACTTTGTCATTTGTTTGGCCCATGAGATGAGCTAGCCAGGCAACAAATACAAGACCGTGGTATCGAAGCAAGATGGAGACTGCACCGCATCCATTGACTTTATGTCTTTCCGGCGCAGCAAGAAAGAAATTGAAAGCGACTGGGACCAAAACAATTACAAGCTCATCTTCCATCCCACCCGCCAACAAAATTCAAGCCAAAAGTACCATGACTTGTTTTGGCAGTCATGATTTTTTGAGAGATTGTGTGAATGCGCCTTTTGGACCACGCACCACATAAGATGTGTCAGTTGGCGAATGAGAGTAAGACCGCACTCAATTGGAAAGTCCGTTTGATGTTCATCCCAACACCCTGTCCACAATTTCATGTCTTGGTGACTCAAAGTGAGACTGTTGGGTCTAAACTCAATGTAGACCTCCCAACGCATACGTTAATTACAGCTAGCTGTACGTAGGCAGATGGATTCGGTCATCCATCCATCAGGGCTTTCCACGGTATATGTCACGTCAGATTCAAAGGGTCCAAGGCAAAGACCTCCCATGCCACCAAGACAAGTTGCCTTGGACACTCAAATCGTAAGAAGGTATTTGCCTGGTGCTAGAAATACTGAGTTACCCTTTGTCGTTAATTGAAACACCATGAAACACATGTTTGCTCAGTCAAATCAAGCAAAGTCACTTATAAATCGAGTTGTGCGAACCACGGCCAGAGGTGCATAAGAACACTCTCTGAGTGTCGCGGCAGGAGCGCTCAAACCGTTCTCGTTTTGGTCGTCGGTGTTTGTTTTTGCTTGCAAAGCTGAAAACACACTTATTGATGAAGTTTGTGAAATTGATGTTGATTGATTCCTCCCACCTACCACGGTCGTAGATTTGCTGGGACTCTTGGACTACAGAGACTACAGGGGAACTGCCCAGCATTGCTGAACTGCTGGATATACAGATGTGATGTGCATCCTTTTGTTTTTTTGAAATCACCCCTTCCTTTTTTTTCAGCACACGACTATGCCATTTGGCCGTTGGCTATATGTTATTATCCCAGGCCCCTTGACTAGAGAAGCAGGATGCCAAATGAACTGCATGTTTCTTTGGGCTGCTTTACATGATGTTCCTGTGAGGTCAATGCTATTTTGGGGTGTTGATCTAGCGCTGTCAGAGGAATCCCGAAAACGTTCACCAGTGGCTTGAACACAAGCACTGAAGCAGGACGATGGAGGTTCCAAACAAGGAACACGGCTTTGCCTACATAATTAGTTTTAATCAGTGTTTGTTCCCTTTGGTTCACAAATCAATGTTGCCCTTGGAATGCCTGAAAAACATTGAACAACCGCTTGTTTTTTGTTTCCAGCCCCAAGAAAACCGCAGCTTCGTGTCAGGACTTGGATTTGTTTCAGGCGTGCGCCATGAACGGCGCGCAGAACGCCATCTGTGCGCCCTGTATCTCTTGAGCCATCAGATGTGTTCCGCATCTGCGGACAGGTGGATGCACAGCTGTAAACACCAAATCACGCTCCACCAGCCGGAGGCTTCCTGCTAAACAGCTAACAAAGAAGCTGATTCAACCGATGAAGAATGTTTGACTGGTGGACCAGGTGAGTGCTTTGTTTGACCGTGCTCATCTTGTTCAGCCAGCTTAAGATTTTCTCAAAGACTTCACACTTGCTTCGGTGTATTCGGAGTTTCGAAGATCGTCATTTTTTCTTCATTCCTTCCCTTCCCTTCCCTTCCCTTCCCTTCCCTTCCCTGCCCTGCCCTGCCCTGCCTTGCCCTGCCCTGCCCTCCCCTGCCCTCCCTTCCTTCTTTCCTTTCTTTCCTTTCTTTTTTTTTCTCCCTTGTTGCTGAGGGGGTGGCTGTGAGGTAAGTTAAGGAGGGAGTCGCTACTACTAGAAGCTGGGATGTAGGAGGGCGTTGGAGCTTAATGATTGCTTCCTAGATTTGTTGGGAAACTTAACCTTTCTTTCTTCCAGATTCCTTTCACACATCATCGTCAACTTGAAAGGGAGAAGTGGTTGGGAAAACACGATTCCGATTCAGGGATCAGAATCGGATTGGCAGCTGAGAGCACAGTCTGATTGATAACGAAACTGCAACCCAGAGGATCTGGATGCCTCCACCTGTTCCGATGAACTGTTCGTATAGCCTTTGGTGTCTTGTTTCAAGAGTGGCACACTTGAAAGAAGCTCCCAAGATGGTCGGGGACAACCCCGCAAGCAAGGAGGCTATTCCAGCATGACTGGGGGACAATATTTAAGTTCTGAGGAGTAAGCCACTTAGCCAGAGTGGCCTGTTTGGGGTTGTCTTCGTTTTCTGGGATGCACTGTGTGCCGTTTGGAAGGCTGAGTAGGCCTCAGCATTTCCTGACCTGTGCTGAGTAGGTTTCAGCATTTCTCAAGCTGAGTAGGCCTCAGCGTTTCGCAAGCTGAGTAGGCCTCAGTATCTCATTGCTGTGACCAGAAGGAAAGTGTGGGAGGTTTTTTGGCGTTGAAGCCAGTGTTTTCATAACAGGGTCCTCCAGAGGCCCCGTTGACCTTCTTTTCATGTCAAGATAACAGTGTTTGCAATATTTTGGAATCACCTTCGTTGCCTCCTCTTTCCGTTTCAATTACTGGTTGCTGTGGTGGGGTGACCGTTTCCTTCGGAATCTACACTTCCGACTCGAAAGTGCTGGTCATTGGGGTGAAAGGTTTCGAACGGTAGACGAAGCGTCCTTGCTCCTAGTAGCTTCCTCTAGACGACATCCAAATGTGAGAAGCCTTTAATTTTCTGTTTGTGGGAAGCTGCACTGTTCTGTCAAGCTGAATCCTGAACTACCCATGCAAGGGTGAGACGCAAACTTGTTTCACATTTAGATTTAGATAGGTGAAGGCTGAAGGAATCTGAAGGATGTTGATGTTCAAAATTGCAACTCCAGTCACCAGCTTTGGTTTCCCCATGTTATGCTTTTCCTGGTCAAATTGCTTGCTGTTGAGTTTGGTAACTCTGTATATTATGAGTATATGGGTCGTTCTGATCTACAATATTCTAGGCTGAAGGCAGCGAAGTGGGCACGGAATCTGGTGTTTGCCCTTCAAAATGCATCCGCTATCATCCGCTTATATCTATCGCATTCTCCTTTCAGATTCACATGAAATCCTCAGTCCAAAGCACTTTTGGCCGTAGGCCCGTGATGTGAACTGGGGATGAGCTTGGAAGCTTTCCTCAGTGCAGCCAATGGCATGGAAGGGCTTCGCTGCCACGTGCTGTGTCAGATCTCTCGAACAGCCGAGGACAAATAGTCCTACCTTAGATTTTCAGCTCATGTCGTTCCCTAAGCTTCATCTACTTTGGCTCCCACGGTTCGAAAATGACCTGCAGACTGGATAGTTTAGAGGACCAGTGACGACACAAGAGCAATTTCGGAATAGGATTGCTTTAGATGCAATGTTTAGATTTGGCATTCAATTTGTGTCATGTCTTCTCAAGCGACTCCAAAGCTGTCATTAATCGGAAATTGTGGGATTTTGACATTCGAGCTTTAAGAGATTTCATTGTAATGAGGGGCAAATGCTGGGTGGTTGAAACACTGTAGATCCGATTTACTGCACTGCACGGCAAACATCGGATCCGAGCAAAGTTCCTGAGTGGAGGTTGTTCAAACTGTAGATCCCATGTCTAGGAAGAGCGGTGGCACGCAGGGTAGTTGTTCAAATGGAGCTTCAGAGGCTAAGACTTAAGTTTCTCTAAAAATCTAGGAACCAAATCATTAGTGCCAAATCATTAGTGCGAGCGTTATGCTGCGTCCTACCTAGAAGCTAACTTGGCCTAGTAAGTACGCACCTACTTAATCAAGTAGGGAGCCGGGGCCTCGGGCTAAAAAGACAAAAGGTCCTCAGCTTTGAGGCGACATTGGCGCCATGTTTGTGACGGCCTCATTCCCGAGATCTGATATAGTTGATTTCTGGCCGTTCAAAGAACGCAGAAACTCATGCATGCATTGCGCTGCTTTTTTTGGTGCCATTTTTGTAAAATTCAACCACTTTTTGTGTGAATCTTTCAAGCGAACCTTTCTAAAGCACTCGAGCATCGCGACGAGCTTTTCTAAAAAGGAATGTTTGGATTGATGGTTGTCAGATGTTGTGGCATTTTCTCTCAACTTCTTGGTCACCCTTCAGAGTCTCTTTTTGAGAATGTAGTCGTTCCTAAATCGGAGTAAACAGGTAGATAGCCAATCGTTTATGCCGAGTATGGCACTTTAGCTTTAAAACATGCTATTGTTGGCAACTCTTTTAAGTGACAACTCTTTTAGCTTCTCCCTTTGGAGGCTCCTGTGAGACCTGGTGTAGATCTCCTTTCGCATTCTTTCGGGACGGTCTTTTGCCAAAGCCAGATGAGCAAACATTCAATCTATTCTGTTCTGTGAAATTACTCCGTTCAATAAGTGTTGGATTCAGGTGGAGGCTAATAGTTTTGTTTTTTCCTAACTGTTTCTCTCTTTTTGGTTGTTCAGGTCGTTCATCACGTCCTTCATTCTGCAGCCTTGTGCTTCAAAGAGCAGGTGAAACGACAGCCAAATCAGACTTCATGAAAGCCTCCCGAAGTGCACCAGGGAGCACCTCTGTTTGACGACAATGAGCTATGATCCTGACTGCGGTCATTCGAGCAGCGGGAACGATGACTTTAGATATCCACAAGGGCCCAACAGTGCACTTCACCTGTTCATAGTCAGTATTGAAGGCCTTGCACACCCCAAACCAAGCTTGAATGACAAGATGGTCGCCAAACGATGTCTACAAAACACGATGCGTTGTGTTGTGTGTGTGCCTGTTTGATCATGTTTGGGAGATGGTGAACGGGACGTCGTTCAGTTGAAAGCAATCACACTCTTAGAGGACTCTTACAGTTGACTTCAGTGAGTCACCGTGTTCTTGGACGTGGTCTGATGGGTTCTTCAACCACTACCGACCCGTCATGAGAGACGCAGAGACGTGGAACCGTCAGGCCAAGTCGAGCGGCGACGGAGTTTTGATGAAGAAAGCACTCGGGTCGTGTTACCCTTTGCAACCACAGATCGATCACTATTGACAGCCTCAGGGGATGTAGAGAGGTTCCTGACTTGTGCAAGAAAGTCAAATCGTAGGAAGCAGTTGTCAAGCCAATTCCACTCAATCCTCAATCTGTGCACGGCTTGTACATACCAACAGTGCCAGAACGGTCTGACTTTTCTCAAAACATTTGGTTTTCCATCCTAAAGCCTAATTTCCCCTTCTTGGATTTGGGGCCTATGAACCTAAGGACTGATAACGCCTGGTCTGGATTCTAACAGCTATTCTATTTTGTAAGGTTAGAATCATAAGGCGTTAACCCACCAATAATTTCATCAAGTTACCCCAACCCTACCACGAACAATCAGCAAGTCACCCAGTATGTCTACTTCAGCTACTCTAGCTGGTAAAGCTGCTTGGCCGCTTCACCGTGGCCAGGAGCGATGTCTTCACCCCTCAGGCACGCACGTTTCGTGGGTTCTCCCTAGCACCTATTAGGTCAATGGCAGCTCAAAAGGAAGAACTGATCAACTTGTTTGAGCAAAAAAGAGAGGAGAGGGGCTGCCGGATGCAAGTTGTCCTTTGAAGACGTTGAAGTGCCAAAGACAAGTGAAGTGGCGCAGGTTACAGTGCAAAAGCATGCAAAAGCACTCTTTATGTTTTGCCGACACAATTCTTGGCCTCCCTCTCCCATGATGCTTTTGTCAGCACCGCAGGGACTACCAGAAGCCCAGTTGGGCAGGGAAGTCTTCCTTGCAAAGCCTTTCCATCGATCTGATCGTTAGCGGTGAGGCCTGCTCATGGGTTATCTGGGAAAAAGCATTGCAAGGCCGTAGTTGTTTCAAAGTCAACGGGGCCAGTGAATGCGGCAATTCCAAGTTGACTTGTTCTGGCAATCACATTCACAAAGATAGGCTTATGCGCGCTTACTCGTACAAACAATAGCACCTTCTTTCGATCGAAGCTGGTCACAAAAGGTCGAACTGATGTTTTCTCTCAAGGATGAAAGTGTCGCAATGGCATTCAATTGCTCCTCACCAGCGTTGGCCCAATCCCTGCTCCAATAATCCTGCTTTTGGCTGTCTTTAAAGTCGAATTTCAATACGGAGACAACGCCAATCCTGGGACAAATCAACCAGGAGAGGATGATCTGGTGTGACAAAGTCAAACAGCCCTGTTCCTTGTTATGTGTTTCTTTTCATTTAGACCTTTGGTCATGTTTTACATGTTGTTTGTTGATTCTGTTGTAGCATGCTTGTTAGTTACCTTTTTTTCCGTTGAAGGTCCGTCGACGGGTAGACTTGGACCTCAAAGCACACGATGCCTTCCTGATTGGTCGGGGAGCCAAAGAAAGTAAGGAGTCCGTTGATGTTTCAATTGAACTCTAGAAATCCAATCATTAGAAATACCTAGAACATATTGCAATGTCAACTTGATTTGATCACTGGCGTTGACCAGAAATAAGCAGTTGAATGGTGAACAGTGACAAGTGGACCTGCATGACGTTTTGGTCGTGTCCTCGCAGACCAACAGGGCCCACCATCACATCATTGGATCGAAATGACGATATATCCTTCCAATGTATAGCATGGTTGCAGAAGGACTCCCTTATCGTCACCTATCGGTTCCTACAACTTTGTGGGAAAGCCTAACTGACCCCTCATGTGTTCTGAGCGGTGGATTGTCCTTTGGCCTTTTTGCTGTCAAAACCAGCCCCAGACATTCCTGCCAAAGTTTGTGCATCTCGAAGGCCAAAAGAGCCCCCGGAAAAAACCCGGAGCTCCTTTGTCTTTGTCCAGAAACCTACCTGGTGCTAGGTGGCTGTGTGTGTCCGTAACTTTCCCTGCCTGTTCTTTCATTCCCTAAGGATTCTGAAGCGTTCCTAAATATCCTATGTTTCCTAGAGTTGGGCATCTCCCTTCCCATACCTTGCTCTAGTGCCACCCTAGGAAAAGCAGAACAGAAGCGAAAACCTAAGGAAGATCAAGGGCCAAAGAAGCCATCAAGGGAAGACATATTCCAGGTCACATGTCTAGGAGCAGCGATGCCAGGAGCCCCGAGTAGCATCCTTGCTCCTAGGAGCCCCTAGTAGCGTCCTTGCTCCTGGTAGCGAGGCCAGGAGCCGCTAGTAGCGTCCTTGCTCTTAGTAGCGAGGCCAGGAGCCCCTAGTAGCGCCCTTGCTCCTAGTAGCGATGCCAGGA